GTCTTGTTTGAGTCTCACACCTTGTTATACCTCCTGGCCCTCATTCATTCTCTGGACTAAACTGTTCTAACTCCTCTCCCTGCTTCCAGCCTCCACTTTTCCCAAATGGTACCCACTCTACATCCAACACCTAATCTGATTCCCAGCACCACCACCAACTCACTGAAGTTTCTCAATGTGCAACGCTATTGCCCCCAAGATATATTAGCTGTCTTTAAGAATGTTGTTATTATTGTGTTGAAGATAATTAGAGCAAATCACCTGCTGGATGATGTGGTTGAGCACTTAGGACAGAACCGCACAGAATCTAATCTGTGGTTACAGTCACAATAGCAGACTACCACGCATGCTTAGTCACTCAGTCGTGTCCCACTCTTTGCGACCCCGTGGGCTGCAGCCCGCCAGGCTCCTCTGTCTGGGATTTCCCAGGCAAGAATACTGGGGTGGGCTGTCATTTCCTTCTCCTGGGGATACTCCTGACCCAGGGACCAAACCTGTGTCTTCTCCTTGGCAGGCAAGTTCTTTACCCACTGAGCCATCAGGGAAGCCCAGTATACAACCACAAACCAAGGTAATTCATGAAAAGAAATAACAGCAGCCTTCTACAATAAATTCCTTCAAGAGACCATAATGCTATTTTCAAATGCATCCAGTTTGCGTGACTAGAGAAATATGATGAAAGAACTGAGTCTTTCCAAGGTATTAGCAGCATTGACAAGTCAGGGTGAAATATAATTTGATCCATAACAGATCCATATTGTGAGCAAGCTGTAAAATATATGTCACATTAATGTTAGGGAACTTGAATTTTACTAGTTTTGTAGATTTAATTCATAAATGTTTCAGTGTTACTTAGAGCTAGAAACACAGGAATTCAGTTTAATATTTCCACATCTGAAACATTAAAATAAATTTCTAGCAAGAAAACTAAGCTACTAAAGTTCTTTAAATATATCATGCACTGAGGATCACCATACTCTTCTCTATCTTAAGACTATTCTCTAATTTTTAAAGAAATGTATCTTTAAGAAATTAACTTCCTTCTTAAAAGGTTAAGGATTGTTATCTCTTAAAACCTTGAAACATCTCCTCTTTGGAAAAACAAAGCCTGCATAAACACCTAAACAGTATTCAGATTTTGAAGCAAAGGCCTTTTTTAAGAGGCACACTCCAGAACCGAGCAGTCCAATATGGTGGCCACTAGGCACATGTGGCTATTAAAACTTTAATTAAATAAAATTACAGGTTCAGTTAGTCAACCACACTAGGCACTTTTCAAGCACTCAACAGCCACGTGTGACTGGTGGCTGAAACATTTCCATCATCACAAAAACTGCTACTAACAGTGTTGCCCTCCTACGACTCCTCCCTTTGAGTGAGCTCCGAGGAAGCCACTCATGACTTCAAAAAATCAGCTCGAGGTTGATGACTTCCAAATCGCTCTCTAGTCTTTTTCCTTTAACCAAATGGAATATCTTCAGTAATAAACTGGTTATTTTGACTTTATCAACTAAAGAGATGGAAGTAGGGGCTGGAAATAATTATGAGAGTGGCAAGAAAATCAATAAGGTACAATGTAATCAAGAATGGAACAGATTTCCAGGGTAAGGTTGAGACTGAGTTTCAGACAAACAGGAAGAGGTGCCGCAAAAGCCTTAGTAAATATCAACTGAAAGACAATCTCCACTCTACTGTACCCACCAATCCTAAAAGAATTAAAAATCATTTTTAAAGTTCTTCAAAAGGTATCTTTCCAAACATACTTGAAGATATTCACTCAGTAAATTCCCCTCTGATTCAAAAGATATATTAAAATCAATATACAAGTCAATATAAACTATAATTTATACTGTTTATAATTGTATTGCTTATAATTCAAAGTTTATATTGTTCTTTACATTTCTAATTTTTTCAAGATAAGAGTCTTTAAAAACATCCCATTCCTGAGTATGTAGCTGAAGAAAATAAAAGCACTAATTTGAAAAGATACATGCACCCCAATGGTCACAGCAGCATTATTTACAGTAAGCAAGACATGGGAGCAACCTAAAGTGTCTATCAACAGATAAATGGAGAAAGAAGATCTGATATATAAATGTACACACAGACATACACACCACACACACACACCCCAGAATACTACTTGGCCATAAAAAAAAAATTTTTTTTTATAAAGAATGAAATTTTGGCACTGCAATAACATGGATGTATCTGGAGGGCATTATGCTAAGTGAAAAAAGTGAGACAGAGAAAAACAAACACTGCATGTTATCATTTATATGTGGAATCTAAAAATTAAAACTAGTGAATATTAAAAAATACTAATGCAATTAATGAACTTCAGCCAGTTTCACAATCTGCCTACAAAGCCAAACACTACCTCAGATTCCTGTTTAAATCTCCTTAAATCTCTATATCTCTCAACTTTCTCTATACTGATTACTTTAAAAAGACCTGGTATAGTTATTAATAACCCACAAATATGTTTTATGCTTTATAGAGATATTTAATGTTGGTGTTACTCCAAAAGGGAGCTTACTTAGAAAAAAAGGAAAAACTACATTTTCTGTCTTAACTAAAATAAAATCAGATGCAAAAATAAGATCAGGGCCCCCAAATTCAGACAGAGTCCTTTGAGAAAACAATGATTAACAAAAGGCATTTCCAAAATATGTACAGTGTATTAATTTATTCAATCAACATTTACAGCCACCATAAACTTCTGGAATGAAGTGAATAATAAACAAACATTCAGCAAACATTTATGAAGTACCTACCGTGTGCCAGGCTTTGGATTATATATATATACCAAAACAAAGCAAAACGAGAGCCATGGGCCCTGCCCGCGCGGAGCTCACAGCCTAGCTGCAGCAGCCGACAGCCAGGGATCCCGTGGCCGAGCACGGGCAGGCCTGCGGGAGGAGGGCCCGGCTCCGGGCGGAGGGTGCAGGGCAGGCTTCACAGAGATGGAGATAATGGAGCTGGGCCTCGGATGAGGAGCAGGTCACCAGATGGAGGGGGAGGGGGGAAGCACATTCCAAGCAGAGGAAACAGCACATGAGCAAGCAGAGTCTTGAAAGCACATGCCACGGTGCAGGATGACGAGCGGTCCAGCGCAGCTAGAGCGGAAAGGTGCACACAAACTAAAGAGATGAATTAGTTTTAGGTTTGTAGTGAACCGTAACTAGCAGGAGGTACATCTTCACATTACACTGAGAGCAGCTGAACTGTGATTCTGGTAACAACGGGGTGCTCTGGAAGCATTCTGTTCATTTCATAAATATTTAAGCCCCTCCAACAGATGTCCAGGACTGTTTAGAGCTTTAAAAAGGACGTTTCAGAAAAATATATCTTAATTTTTCCTCTTACATTTAAAAAGCAAAACAAGCCCAGAATCAAGATTTAAGTTGAAATCATACAGCTTCACCCCTAGTTACACTAGTGACCTAGTTACTAGTGACCCTAGTTACACTCAAGGTCCTAACTTGAGTACCCCCTACTCCTCCCACTATATCCCAGCCCCCTGAACACCTTCAGAACCATCGACACCACAGTCAGGTAGGCAACTCGGAGGCAATTCCAAGCATCCCTTTCCAGCTCTGCCTCTCTGAACGAGGAACCTGCCCATGCCCCTTTGGAAGCCAGGCCAGATAACTAATGCAGTACGTGAGGAGTGCATCCTCACCTCCACACGAGGCCTTTGGAAATCAAGTTATTCTTTAAAAAACAAAAAAACAAAAAACTGCTGAGCTAAATTCTGGAAAAAAGAGGGATATGAAGCAGAGACCCCATAGTCTCCAGGAAAAGTAAAAGGCGAGGAGGGAGGGAGGCTGGGTCAGAAAGTTTCCCATCCTGGCCACCTGTTCACCGAGGCAGCTTGGTGCTCAGGAAGCTATAACGGGAAAAGGAAAGGAACATGCTAGGTGACTTCACGGAAACTCCTATTTACTGCTCACAACAATGCTAAGGGAAAGATCTTATGACCATAAGTTTACAGATGAGAAACCTGAAGCCATCAGAGGTTAATCAAGGTGCCAGTGACTGTGTGAGCTAGGAAAAGGCAGAGCCAGAACATGAATGCACGCCTGCCTGGACCCACGGCCCACCCCCCGACACGTGGGCTCCGTGTCCTCAAGTGAACGCAGCGCTCCCAGGGGGCACGCAGGCCTACACCAGTCATGTCCCTACAAAGAAAAGTCCTTCCTTTTCCCTCCACCACTTTCACGGTCAGTGGGAGACAATTGTGTGGTAACACATACACACGTGTTTCTCTGAAATTTAGAGGGAAAAAAACTGGGGAGAAAATAAAAAAGGTTTATAAGATTATTTGTTTGGGGGACAAGGGGAGGTGCAGCACTTTCCTTATAAAGATATTGGGGGCTTTAATACAATTAAATTAGCATAATTCAAATGCTACTCATGTAAATTCTTATATGATAAATCATCAACTAAGCAACTCACTAAGAGTAAGAGCTAATGGAAAAATCTCCAATCACAGTATTAGAATGTGAATATTATTCCTAAGGAATATTACTCTCCAACACCATCAAAAAGTCAAAATAAAAACTGTTCTTTCTCAAATCCTAATCCTGAATATTAAAAGGGACGTATAAATAAACCATATGCTAAGTAAGGGTACTAGCACCACAATAAAATTTTGCCTCTTTATGGGCAACACAAGCTATTTTAAGGGGGGAAAAAAAGGAGACAATAAACATCAACGGAGAAATTTTTTGTCAACAGTCCCAATGGGCACGAAGTGTGACATACGTTGGCCTAGGGAGATACTGAAATGTTGTTTTCAACATCTTTACTTAGGCTCTCTCTCTTTGTAAGCCAACTACCAGAAAATTAATCAGATTTATTAAATCAAAATGCTTTGCAGGGGGGAGAAGGAAGGGGAAAAAAAAAACAAACTGGGAACATTCAGACAACCAAAACTCCAGTGACACAGAACAATGCAGGAGACTTCTGAAACAGCACTCGTCTGACTAACCAACCTTATTCTGATTGAGAGGATCGTTCCGCAGCCTCTGCTTGTTCTTCTGTAATTTACTAGGCATCATCTTTCCAGTTCTGAAGTCAAAACTGCTGAGGTCAACAGTATTTCCCAGATACCTTGCCAACTGAGGTTTGCTTCTGAACTTCTTACCACTCGGACTAGAAGAAAGATAACATTAATTGGCAAACAATTAATTAATTAATTGGCAAACAAAAGGCAACAATATATACCCCAGATCGCTACACAAACCTTTTCTTCATGCCTGCCTTTCTGCTCCCAATTAGTATCACATCATGGCTTTACATGTTTATTTTCTTCCAAAGAAATACTAAAAGTTTTAAAGGAATTTCTTAACTTCCTAAAGAAAGAGATAGCGTGTCTGTCACCTACCATACCACCCCTAGATACACTGCTGGAACACATGACAGATGTTCACACAGGTCATCCCGCTGGTCACTCACGAAGCAACCACGGACAGAACCCCAACTCAAGGGGCACGCAGAGCGCAACGCACACACGCAAACGGCTCCTCTTTCACCCGTGCTCCAGACTGATTTCCGAAAGGCTTGTTTTCCTATACTATCACACCCATAATGCCAACGGTAACCAGAAAGCACTTCAAAACAAACTGCTCTGATGGAAACAATTCTGGTTAAGGAACACTTAGGGGATTCCCTGGTGGCCTAGCGGTTAAGACTCCATGCTTCCACCGCACGGGGCCCGGGTTCGATCCCTGGCAGAGGAACCAAGATCCCACATGCCGTGGAGCTCAGCCAAACACACACACCCCCCACACACACCAAACACTCACATACACACACACGACACACACTCTCACACCCCCCCCCGCACACACCAAACACTCACATACACACACACACACACCACACACACGACACACACACTCTCACACCCCCCCGCACACACCCCCCACACACACCAAACACTCACACACACTCTCACACCCCCCCGCACACACCCCACACACACCAGACACACACACACACGACACACACACTCACACCCCCCCGCACACACCCCACACACATACCGAACACTCACATACACTCACACCACTCACTCACATACACACACAACACACACACACTCTCACACCCCACACACACCACTCACACCACACACACACACACACACTCATGACACACACATACCCACCAGACACACACACACACACACCAGATACACACACACACACTCACACCACACACACACACCACTCACTCACACCCCACACACTCACACCACACACACACACCCCCCACAGACACACACACCCCCCCACACACACACCACACACACACACCACTCACTCACACCCCACACACACACACTGACACCACACACACACCCCACAGACACACACACACCCACACACACACTCACACCACACACACACACCACTCACTCACACCCCACACACACACACTGACACCACACACACACCCCACAGACACACACACACCCACACACACACTCACACCACACACACACACACCACTCACTCACACCCCACACACACACACTCACACCACACACACACCCCACAGACACACACACCCCCCACACACACACTCACACCACACACACACACCACTCACTCACACCCCACACACACACACTCACACCACACACACTCACACACACACCACCTGTAATTCATATAACCTTTGGGCTACTGATTTGAACTCAAAACACAACAGGAAAAAAAAATGAATTCTGACAATAATAAATGCTCCCTAATGTTACTAAAAGGAGAAAAACTAAGGTAAACATTTACAAATGTGTTTGTATGATGCTTACATGACTTTTGTGAGCCTAACTCCTATCTGAGAGAAGTGTATCAAGAACTTACTTTTTGTAAAAAAAAAAAAAAACTGTCAAAGCTGGAATATTACAAAAGTGCCAGAATTATACAGAAGCTCGAACTAAACAAGTCTTTCCTAAAACAAAAACAAAAAAATTTCCCATGTGGCACTGAACTGTAAGAAAAAATTTAGAGGAAGAACACCCTAAAGTCTTATCTAATAAATTTTCTGAACCAAATGTGCTAAACTTCAGTGAGCTATGACACCAGAAAAGAACTGTGAGAATTCTAGAAAATCTCTCAAAAAAGCCAACATGTCATATTGAGAACTTAACCTTGCACCAACTGACCACAATAAAAGAAAAATAATTCAACCCAGAGACAAAAGAGAAAAGGCTGGAAAACCAAGCAATTTACATTTCCCAGGAATAGCAAAAACTTCTCAGGGTCAAGTCGGAAGCAACACACCCCAGTCTGCCACAGACTCCACCAGCCACCACAGACCTCAAGACAGCTGAAGATCGTATCAACCTTCTTTTTCCACAATCACATGACGTGGCTATTCCTGAAACACAATTCAAGGTATAGAATTCAGCCCACAGATGAAGATAACAGCCAGTTAAGACCAGTATGTAACAGAATAGAAGGAAGCAGAGAGCAACCAGAACCCAGCAGAGGAGAGAATATACGCTTATGTGTAAACAAACTCAACTCCCATTCTAGTCCAGATGTCCAAACATGGTCAGTATCACGGAATAAAACAGCACATGACCCTCAACACTGTCTGAATCTGAATCACCTCTGGCCGCTGCAATCTTCACCCCCCAACCTGATCCTCTGTGGCATCATCTGTCACAGCATCACTGTCTACCCAGCAACTCATCTTCCGGCTAGAAGGCCACAGTGTTCAGGGCGCCATCCCGCAGCCCACACGGCCAGTACCAAGTTCCAAACGCTCAGAGACTCTTCAATGCTGGCACAACAGCTTTGCCTTCTTAGTAAAACATCAAAAACCTTCCAACTGTTCAAGTACTTTTTCCTGACTTTTTCCTACCAGACGTCAAGACACCCCACATTCTAAACTCAACGTCACCAAAAATACGCCATGTAGCTTTGACTTCCAGCTATGTCTTTCCAGGAGGAAGGGTGAACATAACCAATATTCTGCCTATCATAAAACTATTAAATCCTCCAATCCCAGGTAGAATGTCACTGCAACTGTGACGTCATCTGTGATTTGGCAAGCCCAGTTAGAAATAATTCTACTATCCCTCAATTCTACTTTATTACAATCCTACACATTTCCTTAATTAGTCAAACAACCCAAAATTAAGATGCCCCTTATTAAAACTTTCAAACAAAACTTACATAGGCTAGTATTAAACAAAGTAACTTCTGAGAGCAAAAATGGTGAAAGAGGAGAGTGAAAAAGCTGGCTTGAAACACAATGTTCAAAACACTAAGATAGAAGGTATCAGTCCCATCACTTCATGGCAAACAGAAGGGGAAAGAGCGGAAGCAGTTTTAATCCCTTGGGCTAAAAAAAAAAAAAAAACCAATGCATACAATGACTGCAGCCATGAAATTAAAAGATGCGTGCTCCTTGGAAGGAAAGCTATGACAAACCTAGACAGCAATATTAAAAAGCAGAGACATCACTTGGCCAACAAAGGGCCATGTGGTGAAAGCTATGACTTTTTCCAGTAGTCATGCACAGATGTGAGAGCTGGACCATAAAGAAGGCTGCGTGCCAAAGAACTCATGCTTTCAAACTGTGGGGCTGGAGAAGACTCTGGAGAGTCTCTTTGGACAGGGAGGCGACCAAACCAGTCAATCCTAAAGGAAATCAACCCCGAATAGTCACTGGAAGGACTGATGCTGAAGCTCCAAAGGGCCACCCAGTGTGAAGAGCAGACTCACTGGAAAAGACCCTGATGCTGGGAAAGACTGAAGGCAAAAGGAAAAAGGGGCGGCAGAGGATGACATGGTTAGACAGCATTACCGACCCCATGGATATGAATTTGATCAAACTCAGGGAGATAGTGGAGGACACAGCCTGGCGTGCTGCAGTCCATGAGGTTGCAAAGAGTTGGACATGACTCAGTGACTGAACAACATCAGCTGAATAGTTAAGAACATGGTTTTCATTCGCACACAATGGAACAGAAAAGTCTATGCTTATTTAGAACATTAATATATTGCCTGGAATTTAAAATACTGAACTGGCAAATTTTCTCATGGTTAATCTGACACTACATAACAAAGGAAATACTACTAAAAAAAAAATCCAAGTCAGTGAAAAATTGGTAAAGAGTACCCTGTTATTATGTCACTTGAATATAATTACAATTAATTTTAATTAAGCTGTAATAGCCATACAGTCCTTATAACCAGATACTCCAGCTACTGGTAAACAAAATTCTGCCAAACAACTTGACGTACGTCAAGAGCATAAGCACGTGCACTGCACGGCTCTAAGTGCTGGCCTCACACACTGCTGCCTTCAGAACACAGCACAAGCTGTTTTCCTGTCCGTAACTGCCAGAGCTTGTGTTCGGGGCTTTCAGGAAAGTCAACCTGGAGGCCCCAGCGGATTTCAAGACCAGGGACCTTCCTCTGCAGGAGACCAAGGCAAGCCTATTAGAAAGGCAAGGCCCACGGGAGCTTAAGGTGAAGCAGAAATTCTGTCCATCAGGTGGGGACCGTCTTCACAGCAGCCAAACGACTCTGTGTGTGGCCGAGGAAGTCAGGGCTAGATAAACAGAATGACGGTGGGTCCCTGGAGTGACTCCGTCATCGTCTGCCTGCTCTCCAAGATGGCTGCTGTCACTAACAGTCAGACACCCCAGGACTTAACGTGACTAAGCTTTTATTCTAAAAGCATCAAACTGCAACTCAGGGAAATTACTTTAAAAAATAACTCTAGTAGACTAGTGAAGGATATTAGTCATTTTCAGTTTTCTCTGCCCAAAGCGATTACTTCTAGTCCCAATAACGAAATACTTGTATTTCACTTTCAACCACAAAAAAATTCCCTACCAACTGCCCCCTAGATCTGCCTATCCTGATCTGACCTGTGATCTCACCTCTCCTTGTCCTCCCCACTAAATACCCTGAAGAAAAGTAATTATTAATGAAAATCAAAAGCATGAGTTACATTTTCCCAGTTCATATAAGAACATTCCATCACTTGAATTGTCTTTGCTCGCTTTCATTTTGATTAAGCTGTTTAAAGCAACTTCTTTTTTTAACTTTTTCTTTTTTTTTTTTTTTTACTGAAGTACAGTTGATTTAAAGCACTTCTTAAACCTAACTCTACCTGAGAAGTTTCTA